AACCATTCATATTTTGAATTTTGAAAATATCATTTTCTTAATATTATATCACTAATCTAGAAAAACTGTTCAAACATTTTGTTGAGCAGTTTCAAAAATATTTAACAGAATCAGCAACGTATCGAGCATTTTTCTTCTCCGCGTTACCAGGTTGCATTATGCTATTATTATTGTCCGAATGGTAATGATTGTCAACCTTGAACTACACTCTGTAGAATGCCGCCTTGCCAATGCCACTAACAGCTTATCAAGGCTACAGCTGACTATAATCTTTTTTCTTATGCTTTAGCTCAGGTTAAGTTTTGTTTACAATATTTTAGCTACCACGCAGCTTGATAATAATGGAAATGGACTTACACAACACCCTTTTATATGTAGAGTGCATATAAAATACACAATCAGTATCCATAGCATTGCAATAGAATTGTTTTATTGTCACCGCTGCCTAGCAACTATATTTAAAACTTATTATTATTTTTGCTGATTCCTCAAATCATTTATTCACATATCCCTGTGTTGACTATCAGTGTGCATTATTATTGTGGTGAATAGTGGTAATAGGGTATAGTGTGGTGAAAAATAGCGTTCGTACCACGGACCAAAATGGTTTTGGCCCTTTGGTACGAAATATACTATTGTATTACTGCATTCTGTTTGGTTTATTTCAGCTTAACTTAACCAATCAATAGTTTTGTTAATACTTATGAAGTCAAACGGGGTGAAGCCCGTGGGTAAAAGCTAGTATGTTTAAAAATCAGTATTATATTTTTTATTTTCATTACGTAGGCCTAAACTTAAAATTTTAACTAAAACCTCAGATCCCAATCAATCAACCAATTAATTATTTAAGATGGAGACGCCGCTATGTGCGTATTTTAACCCAAATATGAGTGAAGGATGAATGGAGTTGAGTGGTGCGATAGTGACAAAAGGCCGACATGTTCCTTAGACACAGCTGTTAATTAATAGCCCATACAGCTAATTGCAACTAAGGGACCTACAGTCAATAGTGGAATCCGGGGAACCACATTTTTCCCCTTGAAAATAACGAATTGGTCTAATTATCAGGATAGTACTGCGCATAGTGGTAGTACTCACTAGTGCGGACGTTAATCCCCACCAGGGAGCATCGCATCCACAGTGTATGCCTATAAATATCCACAATTCGTTACCTCATAGCATCAGCTGGATTACAGGACGCGCCACCCATCCTAGTCCCATGGATTAGTTAGTAAAATTATACTTCGTGCAATCATAAAAAACCTTTTACACGTTAAAATAAACTGGGACTTGTTCCTGTGAATGATCAACATATATCTGTAGTAATCTTTCCAGTAGCATTGGTTTTATACCATAAATTAAAGTATTAGCACGTATTAGTGTGTGTATATATAGATATCTAAAGTCAATGCCAGTAGCTGTTGGACTAACAAACCCCTCCGTTCCCAGTTACATGATTACGTCTCAGAAGCGGAAATTCCACTGGTGCTGGCGCCAGCGATCAATTCGCCATAAAAGGGATCAAACATTGATCGAGGCCGTTGATCATTCCGTAGCACCGCTCCAGAGTGTTGTATGAAGAAAGCCGCCTGCCTTGTTATTATTGAATATTTATAAGACCGGCAAATCATGCTGCTCAACTTATTGTCAATGTCGAGGGTTGGCAAGCCTTGCAGCCGTCATGAGTGGCGGGAAAACGTATATTTCAAAATTATTGGACCGTCGTCTCAGTGGGTTTTAAACATTTACTGTAACAAAATTATTTGGATTTTAGGATGGTTTGGTGATTTCTCAAAGCCAATTACTGTGAATTTTTTTTTAGATTTAATGAGACAGTTAATAACTCATAGCAATAGATCAAAAATATGGTAGGGAAAACATAATACAAAAACCAGTTTGAATGCTACACAGTGATCCAAACCTTGTGAAATAATCAGTGGGGCTGATAAAATTTCTATGCAAGAGATGTCAAACAGAATGAAAAGAAAATATAATAGTAATAAAGTTGGTGAGTTTTAAAAATGGGAAATCCCCCCCCCCATAAAACCCTGTTTACACTGTCCAACCAAGCTGGTGCACAAACTCGTTTGAACATAGGTTTACACTTTAGTACCAATTTTCATCATAATCAGATGATTTTTACTCTAGTTATCGTGCTTACGGACACACACATGTATATGAATTTCATCTGATGTTGTTTTTGGACCCTGGGAACATCAAAATGAAAAAGTAAATTGGTCCAGAGGGTCTAGGTCTGACCATGAGACCTATGGTAATAGCTTATTTTCTACATGGAAAATTTGCTTAAAGTAGCCCAATAGTCGAATAGTCAATTGTTTTTTAAACTGTGTATATATACTCTAATCGAAATGTAAAATTCACTAAAGGCTGTTAGTGGAGATATTTCTTCCAATACAGCAAAAGTACTTCCTAACAACAACTACAGTATTAAACCGTTTTCTGAAGAGGCAATAACCTCGTAAAGATAATAAAGATTACTTGAATGTCGTAAAACAAATTCTTAATAACCGTGCTGTTAATGACTTGGAAATAAGCCAAGCAAGCAAGGCAATACAGTATATTAAACTCACCTTGCAATAATAATTACAGACTTCCAGACACTTGTTCTATAATTCATTACCATAATTGCACATTTCGCTTCATTCAAGAATGTACATAAATATCTTGACTGCATACGGAGTGAATTAAAAATGGTTGTGACTTAGTATTAAATGCCAAGAATCAAAAACGCATAAATAAAGAAAAACGCTTTTCTGCCTCATGTAATAAAAGGATATGACCTATGATAAACTTTAGAGTGCAAAAAGCTACCTATGACACTGACACACAGTCTAGGTGTATACTCATCAATGTTCACATATGATTGAAGGACAAGTGTAGAGTTAAAGAGATGATAGATTTGTTAATAGATAAAATCAGCTGATAATTAGCCTAGGACTAAACAAATCTGTGATCTCTTGATCTGGGTTTAATTTTGAACTGTAAGAAGCCACTGACTTTTCACAGAAATAGAACCGACAACATTATGTACCTTACGAACATTATAAATTATTTTTTATCCAAGCTCTAGTCCAGGATTGTTTTTACATTATTGGCATGAAATAATGTAAAAAACATCCTAGGCTAGATCTTAGATAAAAATCATTCATAATGCTCGTAAGGTACAGAAGGTTGTCGGTTCTATCTGTGTGAAAAGTCAGTAGCTTTTTAAAGTGATAATGCCGCAACATCGAGGTTGTGGCATTATCACTTTAGCCTGATCCATTGGTCATTTGGCGAGATTTGAACCTGGGACCGAAATACCGTCATCTATCAGGACTATCAGCTCGATCTCCTATAAATGCAATACAGTACTTACAATCCTATCCCTTGTTAATAATTTTCTTAACAAGGGAAGGTAGGAAAAGCAAGATAGAAAAACCAGTTTGAATGCTACACAGTGAAACAAACATTGTGAAATAATCAGTGGGGGTGATACAATTTCTATGCAAGAGATGTCAAACAAACAGAAAATATAATACTGTAGTAACAAGTTTGATTAAAGAGAGTTTAAGTTATCCCAGTTTTTACCTGAAAAGGGTTATTATTGCTATATATTTCTGTTACTTCCCATTGTCACAATTATGATATCACCGCGTATTAGGATAGAAAATAGACAAGACTGGAAAGTTTCAGCCAAACTATTTATCTGTTTTATAAGCAAGTTTCGTTGTAATTTCAATTACACACTTAAAAAATAAGAATACCCTCGCCACCTACAGCAAACCTGCTGACTAAGCGAATATCCATTTGTCTGAATTGATTTTCGATTAAATCTATTTAAATAACATTAGGTTTAACGAGTACCTAGGTTTGCTGCTACAAGGAAACTAATAAAGTGTGTTTTTGGTAAAAATATTAATATCTTAGTATAAAATAAATAAATTTGCCAAGTTTGATCAATATAATATATTGATATATATTTTAAGTAAGCAAACACATACAATGATATATTATTGACACATATTTTACACAAACTAACAAACAGTACATACCACATCTTATGTATGTATTACGACATTTTGCCAAATATTTTGGAATATTCTACAGGAAAGTGATATACCTATTTGTTTTTTTACTGTGAACTTGTTCATTTAAGTAAACAATGACAACATAAAGATTACATGATAGGCGTATGTGAATAATTATCATATATATTTTATTTAAGATATATTATATCTATAAACAAGCAAACTACAACATTTTATAATATTCTACCTAAGAATAACATAGAAATTTTAAATTTTCAATTTTTTGAATTTTCTCCGTTACCAATAACCGTACAAAAACACTTTGATATACTAATTTATTTGTTTTTTAAGCTCTTTAAAAAAGTCTAGAAAGAAATTGGGAAATCTTGTGTTTTGAGGGTCAAAAATGAGAAAGACCAATTTTTACCCCACGTAAAAGACGTAAAACCCTGTTCCCATGGTCCGATCATGCTGGTTCGCAAACTCATTCAAGTTCATCCCGCTTTACACCTTCAATCCGAATTTCATCAAAATCGGACAAAAATTACTCAAGTTATGGCGTTCACGGACAATATATATATACTTGGTAATAGCTACTTCCCTATAGGGAAATTCACTAAAACCAATTGAAAAACTATTAAGTGAGCCAAGTTTTTGGCATGCAGGTGAGATAAGCCAAACGACACTGAGGGGATAAAATTAGGTAACAAAAGATGTAAATGATAAAAAACTTTTACATTGTTGTAAACTACACTTCCATAATAAAACTCTTGTCCAGTCTTTACATCAATAAAATATTCATATACAAAGGGGTCTGAAAAAGACGTTTGCTTTGGAACCTCAAACCTAATAGAAATACGATCACCTCTGAAATAAATTTTCTTAGGCCAAAGATATAGCAAATGCAGAAACCATTTTCAAAACAAAAACAATTGAGTTACCTACCACTGATGATCGCTTCTGTTTCAGGATGTATGCCCCAACGCTACGTATTCGGACTCATGGGGTTCCTCGCTGTGGCCAACGCCTACGCGATGAGGAGCGTTTTAAGCGTCGCCATCACAGAGATGGTTGTAGTGCATCATGGGAAATTGGGTCAACACGTTCTCATACCCGACCCAAACGCTTGTCCGATACAAAACTCCTCAACTAAACCTCATCATTACAACCCAGTGAGTAATCTTACAATCTCATTCTCAACATGTACAATCTTTACTCACTGGATTGATAATAAACGTGTGTCTCCATAACTATAAACTATCATAAACTCAGTGTTTAATTTGTATTGACTTGAGTCTACATTTTTCAAACAAGTTTTTGAAAAAAGTTGCTCTAGATGTTAGCCATCGAAATTCCATGAACTATATATTTCTGTGAGTTGAACAAGTTATTCAACAGATTTAAACCTCTTTTAGATAAGACTTAAATTCTTAGTTCTTTAAAAAGAGCAACATTATAGTCTCGTCCCTTTCTGTATGTGCTGTATGTGATTGTTTTTATCTAATTTAGTTGTGAGTTGTGAGGTAATTTTTCTATTTATGTAGCATGTAAGGTGCCAGCCTACTAGAACCACATCTGGAACCTATTACTGTAACTCAGCTAGTTTAAAATATTCCACAAAATGAGTTACTATACTTTAATACTTTTAACAATGATAGTAGTTGTCAAAGAGTTATGGAGTATTATTATTCAATCATTATTAAATTACAAAAGTTTTATAACCTTATTTTTACAAAAATCTTTGGTTTTTTCTCTGCCATGCTAACTACCCTTTTAACCTCTGGCGTACCTGGGTCTGGGCCCACCGTTCAGAGTGAAAAGAGAACTTTTCAGTTCTCTGAACTAAAGCAGCTCTGATCAAGGAGGTTCCACTAGCCATTTGTTGGAGTAATCTTCTCTAGATGTATGATAATAAATGCATATATACTTTCTTTTTCTTCAACAAAGTTTTTGTGTACAGAGTCTTTCCAATATCATGATAAAATTTTTGCAAATCCATTCCAAGACTGGACAATTTTCTAAAATACATAAGCCCACTATGGGCATTTAGTCCGGTTGACTTTTTTTAATACGGCTTGATAAATGTACGTACGTGTAAAAAACAAATAGATATATCACTTTCTTGTAGAATATTCCAAAATATTTGGCAAAATGTCGTAATACATACATAAGATATGGTATGTACTGTTTGTTAGTTTGTGTAAAATATGTGTCAATAATATATCAACGTATATGTTTGCTTACTTAAAATATATGTCAATATTAGATCAACGTATGTTTGTTAGTGTAAAATGTACGTACATTTTGTGTACTTGTTCATTTACGTAAACAATGACAACATAAAGATTACATGATATGCGTATGTGAATATTATCAAAATCAAATTCATTAGCATTTGGAAAAATGTCACTTTTGAGCTACTGGTACCACTTTCTTTACAGCAATGCATTTTCAGGAAAACGAATTTGACTGGGATGAGAAGACTCAGGGATACATTCTCTCTGCCTTCTTCTGGGGCTATGTCCTCACCCACATTCCCGGAGGACTTCTTGCCGAGAGATTTGGTGGGAAGCAGACCCTCGGGCTGGGGATTCTCAGCACTTCAATTTTGACGATCCTGACTCCGTTTGCCGCCCGAGCAGGGCCGAGGTGGCTCATAACCACAAGATTTGTCGAAGGTCTTGGAGAGGTTAGTATTCCACAATGTTCCAAGAGTTTGACAGTCTCCCTAGATAACGTGTGATCCTCATAGAACTCTGAACTCTGTGGTTAAAAAATGCTTTTAAAAGAAAGAAAAATGTGTTTTCCATTAGTTTTTTGTTTTATACACAATCTAAAGTTCTGTCCCTATATGGTTAGGTACCAGATTTTTGCACTGATTTAGTATTGACTTTATGAATATTAATAAAACACTAAGGAAAGTATTACGGGAAGAGGAGGGCTTAAGCTTTTCAGGTGATACCTTGTTTAATAACCCTGATATAAATCATCTTAGAAGTTAGGAATAATCAGAAATAATTTCCAAAAATAAAATATTTGTATCTAAAGATTTTACTACACTAGGTGATATATTATCATGTTTAAAAATAAAAATCGCCTTATCTTGCAGGGCACCACGTTCCCAGCACTAAACGTTCTACTGGCTCAATGGGTACCTCCCATGGAAAGAGGGAAATTGGGTGCTTTGGTGTTTGCAGGTGAAATTAAATTTTATAATAATTTAGCTTTACTCATGCTTAAAAACTACATAAAAATGTAAAATTGAAAAGAGTGGATTTTAAAACCTACTGGAAAATTTACAATACTGATCCCATTGATCATAGAATCTGTATTTGTAGAATTTATTTGTGGACACAGTATTTTTGTTGCTTTATTTGAGTAGTATTGCCAGGAGTCAGTATACAATAAGATTTTTTGAGAGGAGGGGTTAAATGTTGTGGGCTAAATGCAGAGGGTAAATTTGTACAAGATTGTTTTTGAAATATCGTTTTTAAAGGGTCGAATAAACATTTTGTACCACCTCAGATGAATAGTACAATTTTTTCTGATTTTTTACCATTTCAAATGGAAAACTCTCTTTATACATGACCATAACTGATTCTTGTGTGATTTTTTGGGAGGATAACCCAATTTTATTATTACAGCTACATGCATTAGCTGCTAACCCAATTTTTCTAACAGTTTTACCTAACACCTAAAAGTTGATTGGTTTTTTATGTAATGTAGTTCCAAACTATTTATCAAGAACAAATAAAACTAAAATTGTATAATCTAACGTGAATCGTAACATTGGTTTTAATAATCAATTTATTTTAATCAACAAAAATAATTTTAAATTTCCACAGGCTAGCTACCCAAGCTTCTTCTTTGGCTACTTGCATTTTACCACTATCTCTAACATAAATACCCACATTATCCACATAGTATCCACATAACATCCATATGATGTCCACATTTCAGGTAACCAGATCGGAACTGTGGTGTCCAGCACTCTTACCGGCGTCATGCTACAACATTGGGACGGAGATTGGCCTTTTGTCTTCTACTTGTTTGGTGTCCTCGGGGTCGTGTGGTACGTCGTGTTCTGCTTCCTTTGCTACAACGACCCTGCGTCTCACCCTTACATCTCTACCGAGGAGCGGGAATACCTGTCGGAGACTATTGGCTGCCTCAAGCGTAGAGAGGTAAGTTGAATAAGAGAATGCATGTAAAAAATATCCCCGCCATAGCAAACCTGCAGACTTTAAGTGACATATTTTGACTGACTGGATATTTACTTACATATTTCCTTAAATTTGTCGGATTCATTCCCTTTTTAAATAACATTAGGTTAAATTAGTACAGTTTGCTGATACAAGGAAGATAATAAAGGTGTGTTTTTAGTGAATATGTATAGCTTATATTGAAGTAAGTAAGTTTGCCAAATTTGATCAGAATACAGTATATCCATAAACAAGCAAACTGCACCAGTTTATACTTATATTCTCCATAAGTATAATGTAGGAATTTAAAATTTATAATTTTATGGAACTTTCTCCGTAACCATTAGGTCCACAACTAAGCCATAGTATGATGTTTGTTATGGTGGTCAAAAATGTGAAAAAACAATTTTATCCTATTAAACACCCCATAGAACCTTGTTCCCATGGTTTGATCATGATGATTCTCCAACTTGTTTGAATGATTGTAGGTTTACACCTTCCACATTTTCCTAATCACTGTACTTGTGTTATTTTTCAGAACCTGGCTCCTACCCCCTGGAAGGCGATGGCTCTATCAATCCCTCTCTGGGGCCTGATCATCGGCCAGATTGGACATGACTGGGCTCTGTTCACCATCCAAACAGATCTGCCAAAGTACATGAAGAGCGTAATGCATTTTACCGTTGCTCAGGTAAGCCCAATTGATTTGTGGTTTAGAATTTTTTTTTTATCAGCCCTTAAACTTAAAAATCTGTATGTTAAAAAAACTAACAAAAAAATTTGTGTGATAGGAAAAGTCTGCCACTATTACTCTAATACTTTTAAATTTACTTGGACTCAATGCTGATACTTAGGATTTATAGCACTTAAAGATGTTTAGTTGTGTCACTTAGGAATTCAAACTTACCAAAATTCTGCATTTGTTTATTTTTTTGTAAAGTTTGCAATAGTGCTCCTCTTTTAGATTTGGAGCTTTGGGCTTATATATCAAGCTAAGCACATGGATGGAATTGGTTAAGTATAAGAGAAGTGTCGAAAATATACCATATTAAAATATACTAATGGTACAGCGTTAAAAGAATATTAGTGAGTTGGTGGCTCAGTTGGTAAGCCCCGGACTTTTTGGTCCCAAGGCAGCGATGTTGTGGGTTCGGATCCTGGTTCCTACCACAAAAATTTTTTATCAGTACAGTTCACCCTTGTACTATACCGGCTCATCCCCTGATTTGCTGGATACGTTTCACCGTAGGCAAATAGAATAAATACTAGTGGCTTGTAGGGTCAATAGCCCCTATATATATATGTTTATTAATTTTCTAGTAATTATTTTGTACAGCGTCATTGGTTACCCTACCTTAAATTATCGTTTAACATTTTTATATATATATTATAATATGTATAATACTTATTACATACCTGCATAATGCAATTTGATGTCTGCTCTGTTTAAAATAAAAATTTCAAAGAGCATACGGTGTCTTTATAATATAAACTTTCTAATCATAATACAACTAAGGAACATTTTCCAATTATATTTACTACTTCACTATCAATTTTACAATAACAAAATCATGCACATTCAGGTGTGGTTATAATTTTTTCAATCACAGCTGTGTTTACACTAAATAAAAATACATAAAATTAGATTCCCATGCTATTTAAATGTGAAATATTTTATTCCGTAACAACCTCTTGGTGCATAATTAAGAAAAATGAATAATTTTCCCCAAAATTTCATGCTCAGACCTTTAAAATGAGACCCCTCCCAGCTTTCTACGGCCTCCCATTCGCTCACAATTTCATTGTAAAATTTTGGGCTTACGGAATTAGATATATAGATAGACCAGCAGCAGTGCTGGAAAACAAACTAACCGGAACTAATAAAAAAAAAACTATTTAAAAATGCCCAAAGATAATAATAATTGCAATGCCCATTGGGATTGCATATGTTCCGGCGCTCACCGCTAGGAGTGTCGTGTAGTTACAGCCCACACTGCTGCAGCGATCTGCTGGTAGCATACGGCTCCTGCGCTCCTCAACTGCAGCGGTGTGCACGGTAATTACAACGGCCCTCCTAGTGGTGGGTGCCGGAACTTTCCTTTGACAGTCTATATTTACTCTATTTGTCTACGGTTTCATGCACGCTCGCACAGGCCTCTGTGGCCCATTTGCAAATGCAAGGTAAAATAGGCCACCAACCTCTTTAAAAATATTATACCAATGATTATATTTTATTTATATTTATATTTATTTGTGAATGTTATGTTTTTTGTTCCCATTCTTCACATTTTTTTTAATTTTTCAGAACGGCTTCCTCTCTTCTCTTCCCTTCCTGGTCATGTGGTTCACTGCTCTCTTCTCTGGCTGGCTTTGCGATTTCCTCTTAGCTAGAAACATCATAAGTGTCACAATCTGCAGGAAAACTTTCACAACCATCGGTAAAAAAAACTTGTTTTGCAAAGTGAGAATAATTGCCCTCGATTAAATAAAGAGGATAGCAGCTACCCTAGTTTTTATTTTTTTTTTTTTTTTTTAAGGGAGAGGAGGTAAAAATGCTTTTACGCACACAGGTAGCCAGCCTGTAGTGTGAGACTCCTGAGCTTGTCAGCCTACACACTAAAAAACCCCCTCTACTCTGTTGGACACAGACCTGGGATTGTTTGTCACATTACTTCAGGTCAGGTCAACGTGTGACCTAAGCCCTCAGGGCTCACGCCGTTTCTGGCATTCAATTTCTTTATGACCTAGACCGCATCTCGGTCAAGCTCTAGCTTCTTTGTGCGGAGAATATCCTGGACGAAATGTGACATACAGGTCCAATTGTCCTCACCCTCCGTCATCATCGGAATGACCGTGTCCACCAACAACTGCCCTACATGTTGTTCAGCCTCCAGGCGGGAACCTTCCCAACGCTGGCAGCGGAAGAAGGTGTGCTCCGCGTCGTCGGGAGTGCCTGGGCAGTAGATGCAATCGGGTGACACGGCTTTGCCCATCCTGAACAGGTACGACCGAAAAAACCCGTGACCTGTCAGAAACTGGATAAGGTAATAGTCCACCTCACCATACCGTCGGTCAACCCATGGTTGGACTTGCTGAATCAGTCTCCTGGTCCAGCGTCCCCGCGACTCCTGTTCCCAGCTCTCCTGCCAGAGCTGGTAGGTGCGGTTGCGCTCCTCCATTTTTGCATGGTCCTCTCCACACCGCTGATAAATCGCTTTCCTCTCCGCTGCCAAAAGTTTGACGGGGATTACTCCAGCAACCACCAAGATGGCAGGTTCAGACACTGTTCGGTAGGCGGATGCTACCCTGAGTGCTGCCTGACGCTGCACTCTGGCAAGCCGCATCCTATACACCTCCTTATTGAGCGCGTCTGCCCACACCTCCGCACCATACAGGAGCACAGACTGAACTGTAGACATCAACAGCCTTCTGCGACTGGAACGAGGACTTCCGACATTGGCCATTAACCGGCTAAGAGAAGAGATCACCTTAGCGGCCTTGTCCGCCGTTCGGAATATCTGGTCCCGCCAGCTAAGCTTAGAGTCCACCATGACACCAAGATACTTGGCGGCACGAACGGACTGGACTTCGACGTCCCCCACCCTCAACGGCACAATGGTGTCAATCCGCTTTTTGGTCAGAATCACGATCTCAGTTTTGTTCAGCGCAAGTGAGAGACCGTGATTTGCCATCCATGCGTTTATAGTTCGCATGACTCGGTTTAATTTTAGCTGGGCCAGCTCAACACTACGAGCAGCTATTAAAGCTGCAATGTCATCTGCGTACCCAACTAAAACGGTTTCTTCAGGCATTTCAGACCTAAGGAGGCTGTCGTAGGCAACGTTCCAGAGGTCCGGGCCGAGTATGGAACCTTGGGCAGCACCAGAAGTGACACTCATCGTCCGCGGGCCTTCTGTAGTATCATACATGAGGAGGCGGAACCGGAGGTAATCCTCTATAATGCGCATGAGGTATGCCGGGACGTTGAAGTTGTTCTCCAGAGCGTAAAGCATATCGCACCATCTTGCAGAATTAAATGCGTTTCGCACATCGAGTGTAACGAGCAGCACAACCCTACGAGAGTAGTGATTAAAATCCTCAGCTCTCATCACGGCTTGCTTCACCTCCTCAATAGCGTCGACCGTTGATCGCCCCTTCCTGAAGCCGTATTGGCGAGGGCTCAGGTCCCCCGCAGCAACCACGGCTGAATTCAGTAGGGAACGGATCAACTTCTCTAGGACTTTCCCAGCCGTATCCAACATGCAAAGGGGTCTGTAAGAGGACGGCAATTCTGGGTCTCCTTTCCCCTTCCCTACGAGCACGAGCCTAGCTTTTTTCCAGCACAACGGAAATACCCCCTCTGCTAGGCAGGCGTTGTACATGCTCAGAAGAATCAGGGGATTGATTGAAAAAACCTTCTTAAGAGCCTCGCCAGGTACCCCATCAGGTCCAGGAGCCTTGTTGTTTTTTAGGGATAAAACGGCAGTCTCCAGCTCCTCATGAGTGAAGAGTGGGACATCGTCCATCATCTCAAACTCACGCAGTGGGCGCAGAATATGATCCGGAAAAAGGGATTTGACGACCCTCTCCATAGCGGCCCCCTCCATGACGGAAGGTGGAGAGCGAGTGGTGCGTTTTTGGGTTACTAGTTTGTAACCCAGGCCCCACGGGTCGGAATCGACATCATCCCTTAGTGTTTTCCAGCAATTGTGTTTGCTCCGGTTGATGGCCCGGCGGAGAGACTTCCTCGCCACCTTGTAGCTCTCCAGCTTACGGCGTCTATCCAAGGGTGCCCTGGCCCTGGTAGCGAGTCGTCTAGCTCTCAAAGCAGCTCGGCGCAAATCCGCGATCTCTGCAGTCCACCAGTATACGGGTCTCCTATCGCAACGGAGTCTCTTGCGGGGCATTGACTCATCACAAGCCGAGGCAATCAGCCCCATCATCGATGTAACTATAGCCTCTGCATGAACCATGCCAGGTGCGGCAGGCACCGCTGGCACTCCCCGCAGGATGGCCTCGGTGAATTTAGCCACGTCCAGTTTTTTGGTGTTCCACCGAACGGGCACTTCCCGAGATGCAGCAACTTGTCTCGGGATGCCATCTAAGACATTGAAAATAATGTATTGATGGTCGCTGGCCGTATAGCAGCTATACCTTAGAAAAAGTGCTCTTCCTTCCTCTTTCTTTACACTTGATTAAGTCTCCCAGGGGAAGAAATATTTTGTTTTAAGTGTCTCCTGTGTGTTATATGGCCTACCTACACTTCTTCTGTAGGCTAGCTGCTATCCTCTTCATTCCACAATAAAAATCCTGGCATCGAGCCTTTCATAGAAAAGAATAAAATAAATACCGTAGCTTTAGTCAACATAAACAATTAAACATACATGTATATTGTATACAAATACAACCATAAAAACTTGGAACACTTCTTTAACAGTACTATTATTTATGTATACAAACAATAAAATTCTTCTGTGTTAGGAAACATTGTTCCTAAGAAACAGCTAATCTTAGTCAAAGTGTAATTCGTAGTTGTCATTTCATTCATGTTAATGACTCATCCTTCACTCATATTCAAACCCGGATGGTTTGCTTTGCGTTACCATCCGATCTAATCTAGCAAAGGGGAGTGAGCTGGCGCAGTGGTTAGAGCGCGGGACTTCAGTCCCTGAGGTCCCGGGTTCGATCTTTCCGCCAAGTCACCAGGATTTTATCTAAGTGATAATGCTGCAACCCCTGAAGTAATGTGAAAAACAATCCCAGGCTCGTGCCTAGCGTCCTAGAACAAAAAAAAAAAAAAAAAAAAAATAGCAAAGCTATACAAGGCGTCTCATGCAGTTCTACACTTATCCTACACTCAAAAGTCAGTTTAAAACCAACAACATTGTCTCATTGTCTTCACAAAATAATGAACCTATATGTATTATATTAATTCCCTCCATGATTTCAGCGTCCGTCGGCCCAGCCCTAGGCTCCCTGGCAGCTTCATACGCAGGGTGTGACAAAGTGATGGTGGCAACATTGTTCGCCATTGGTATGGCTTTCATGGGCTTCTTCTACCCAAGCTTGAAGGTCAATGCCCTAGACCTCTCCCCCAACTATGCAGGGACTCTCATGGCAATTGTCAACGGTATCGGAGCCATTGCTGGGATAATTACCCCGACTCTGATTGGCTACCTTACTCCCAATGTAAGTTTAATGACTGAAGGTTAATGTCCCTAATTCTATAATAGTGTCAGATTATGACGAAGTTAGGTCAATTTACATTAATGCTAAACCAAAATTAGGTCTGGGGAGCAAGCTGGTCTAGTGGTAGAGCGCACGACTTCAGTTCCTGAGATTCTGGGTTCAAATCCCACCAGATCACCAATGAATTTCATCTATAAGTGATAATGACAAACCCTTAATTGGTCTAGCCTGAAGTAATATGTGAAAAACAATCGTGGGCTAGTGTCCATAGCATCCTAGGATAAAAGTAAAGATATCCAAAAAAAGAGTCATATATGCTGGAGTGGCATTTTGTATCAGTAATATTAGAGAACTATTCTTTAGAATATAATTGTTCATTTCTTTCACAAAGCCATATACTGGAGTGTATTGTGTTATGGATCAGTGCTATTAGTGAACTATTCTTTAGAATAAAATTGTTCATACATTGCTATTTTTTTTTTTTTTTTTTTTTTTTTTTTTTTTTTTTTTTTTATAAGGGAGAGGAGGTAAAAATGCTTTTACGCACACAGGTAGCCAGCCTGTAGTGTGAGACTCCTGAGCATATCAGACTACTCACTAAAAAACCCCCTCTACTCTGTTGGACACAGACCTGGGATTGTTTGTCACATTACTTCAGGTCAGGTCAACGTGTGACCTAAGCCCTCAGGGCTCGCGCCGTTTCTGGCATTCAATTTCTTTATGACCTAGACCGCATCTCGGTCAAGCTCTAGCTTCTTTGTGCGGAGAATATCCTGGACGAAATGTGACATACAGGTCCAATTGTCCTCACCCTCCGTCATCATCGGAATGACCGTGTCCACCAACAACTGCCCTACATGTTGTTCAGCCTCCAGGCGGGAACCTTCCCAACGCTGGCAGCGGAAGAAGGTGTGCACGACCGAAAAAACCCGTGACCTGTCAGAAACTGGGTAAGGTAATAGTCCACCTCACCATACCGTCGGTCAACCCATGGTTGGACTTGCTGAATCAGTCTCCTGGTCCAGCGTCCCCGCGACTCCTGTTCCCAGCTCTCCTGCCAGAGCTGGTAGGTGCGGTTGCACTCCTCCATTTTTGCATGGTCCTCTCCACGCCGCTGATAAATCGCTTTCCTCTCCGCCGCCAAAAGTTTGACGGGGATTACTCCAGCAACCACCAAGATGGCAGGTTCAGACACTGTTCGGTAGGCGGATGCTACCCTGAGTGCTACCTGACGCTGCACTCTGGCAAGCCGCATCCTATACACCTCCTTATTGAGCGCGTCTGCCCACACCTCCGCACCATACAGGAGCACAGACTGAACTGTAGACATCAACAGCCTTCTGCGACTGGAACGAGGACCTCCGACATTGGCCATTAACCGGCTAAGAGAAGAGATCACCTTAGCGGCCTTGTCCGCCGTTCGGAATATCTGGTCCCGCCAGCTAAGCTTAGAGTCCACCATGACACCAAGATACTTGGCGGCACGAACGGACTGGACTTCGACGTCCCCCACCCTCAACGGCACAATGGTGTCAATCCGCTTTTTGGTCAGAATCACGATCTCAGTTTTGTTCAGCGCGAGTGAGAGACCGTGATCTGCCATCCATGCGTTTATAGTTCGCATGACTCGGTTTAATTTTAGCTGGGCCAGCTCAACACTACGAGCAGCTATTAAAGCTGCAATGTCATCTGCGTACCCAACTAAAACGGTTTCTTCAGGCATTTCAGACCTAAGGAGGCTGTCGTAGGCAACGTTCCAGAGGTCAGGGCCGAGTATGGAACCTTGGGCAGCACCAGAAGTGACACTCATCGTCCGCGGGCCTTCTGTAGTATCATACATGAGGAGGCGGAACCGGAGGTAATCCTCTATAATGCGCATGAGGTATGCCGGGACGTGGAAGTTGTTCTCCAGAGCGTCCAGCATATTGCACCATCTTGCAGAATTAAATGCGTTTCGCACATCGAGTGTAACGAGCAGCACAACCCTACGAGAGTAGTGATTAAAATCCTCAGCTCTCATCACGGCTTGCTTCACCTCCTCAATAGCGTCGACCGTTGATCGCCCCTTCCTGAAGCCGTATTGGCGAGGGCTCAGGTCCCCCGCAGCAACCACGGCTGAATTCAGTCGGGAACGGATCAACTTCTCTAGGACTTTCCCAGCCGTATCCAACATGCAAAGGGGTCTGTAAGAGGACGGCAATTCTGGGTCTCCTTTCCCCTTCCCTACGAGCACGAGCCTAGCTTTTTTCCAGCACAACGGAAATACCCCCTCTGCTAGGCAGGCGTTGTACATGCTCAGAAGAATCAGGGGATTGATTGAAAAAACCTTCTTAAGAGCCTCGCCAGGTACCCCATCAGGTCCAGGAGCCTTGTTGTTTTTTAGGGATAAAACGGCAGTCTCCAGCTCCTCATGAGTGAAGAGTGGGACATCGTCCATCATCTCAAACTCACGCAGTGGGCGCAGAATATGATCCGGAAAAAGGGATTTGACGACCCTCTCCATAGCGGCCCCCTCCATGATGGAACTAGTTTGTAACCCAGGCCCCACGGGTCGGAATCGACATCATCCCTTAGTGTTTTCCAGCAATTGTGTTTGCTCCGGTTGATGGCCCGGCGGAGAGACTTCCTCGCCACCTTGTAGCTCTCCAGCTTACGGCGTCTATCCAAGGGTACCCTGGCCCTGGTAGCGAGTCGTCTAGCTCTCAAAGCAGCTCGGCCCAAATCCGCGATCTCTGCAGTCCACCAGTATACGGGTCTCCTATCGCAACGGAGTCTCTTGCGGGGCATTGACTCATCACAAGCCGAGGCAATCAGCCCCATCATCGATGTAACTATAGCCTCTGCATGAGCCATGCCAGGTGCGGCAGGCCGCAGGATGGCCTCGGTGAATTTAGCCACGTCCAGTTTTTTGGTGTTCCACCGAACGGGCACTTCCCGAGATGCAGCAACTTGTCTCGGGATGCGATCTATGACATTGAAAATAATGTATTGATGGTCGCTGGCCGTATAATCCTCCAAGACTCTCCAGGCTGTGATCCTTGGCAGAAGAGACTCAGATGCGAGGGTTATGTCTGGGATCGTTCCCCTCATCCCGGGTCGCCGGAACGTTGGCGTGTTGCCCTCGTTGATTACGAGTCCGGCCCTGGCAGCAAAGTCCAGGATGTACTTCCCCCGGGAATTAGTGAGGGTCAGTCCCCACTCGACGGCCCTAGCATTGAAATCACCAGCCACGACTACATGCCCTGTGGTGTCCTGCACGCTCTCTTCCAAGCGGTCTATCTTCTCGCGGAAGTCATGGATAGCCTCGTTAGGGGTGAGGTAGACACTGTAATAGGTGACGTCCTTGCACCGAACCCAAACAAATCCACGGCCCTTTCCATGACCCCGCACTTGCACTTGAGCTGTATTACGCACCCAGAAAGCAGCAGTACCAAGACTATCGGGGAACCAAAAGGGTGGGACCCTATTCCGGTACTGGTACTGCTCGCTGACAAAGAGCGCGTTGACACCGTGTTCGAGGGCAAGCTGACTGAGAAGCGCGTCAGCTGTCCTGGATCGCCCAAGATTACATTGGAGTATTCTTATTTTCGAGGGTGGGCTTTTGCTTGCTGAAGCGCAGTTTTAAAAGCGCTGCACTGCCCAGACCCAGCTATATGTTTGGTGTTTTTGTCCGCGAGCCCATTTTCCTTACAAAGAAAGCAAGATTCGACTTGGCAGTCCCTACGAGCGTGACCCACCCCTCCGCACCGGAGGCAGTGCTTGCCTCAGTCGGGCCCCTTGCAATTTCGGGAGGAATGACCGAAACCGAGGCACCTAAAACACCTGGTTACTTCCACCCTCCGTCTGAGCCTGCAGTTGACCCAACCGACCCTCAAATGCTGGAGTGCCAACACCTTACTAGCGTGTGCGTCTGCCATTTCGGCGACCGCCATCCGCTGCTGGTTTCTATTTGGTTTTGTGAGCCACACCCTAAGAACAGCCGATGTTCCGGCAAGCTCGGGGACTGCTTCCTTTAGGGCCTCAACCACCTCACTCTCTGTCGACACACCATCTATGTCCCGAACCTCAACTGACGTTTTAGGCTCGAGTGCACGGACGGTGCCCTGGCCTTCCACGGCTGCCTTTAGTTCAGCAGCAAAAGCGGATTTGTCCTTTGACTTACCCAGTTCAAGGAGGACGTCTCCGCCCCGGGTTTGCCTAATCGACCGCACAACCGTATCGGTCTGCTCCGGCTTAGCTTTAGCCTTTATTATACCCAAGACTTCAGCGAATGATCTCCCCCCTGAGGGTTTAACCAAGATTGCCTCCGTCCTGGGCTTTTTTGGCCGCGACCTTTTAAGAGCGGGGGCCAAACCGGGCCCAATTTGGGCAACGTTTGTCGTTTGTGCCTTTACCGCCACATTTTTCTTGGAGGTGACCTCCGCCCGCCTCTGCTGCCTCTTCTCCTTTCGGGTAAGACGCTTTTCCCATGCAGCCCCAGATGGTGTCTCAACAACTGATCCCTTACGGGAGCTTCCCCTAAGAGGGGTCACAGGTTGCTGAGGTTGTAGACGCTTTGTTGGGAAAGCAGCTACATCTGGGGAAGACCTGGGCCCGGCAGACAAAAGGTCTGTCTGGGTCGCCTTAGCCTTAACCTTAGCCCTTGTGGTCTGAACAGCCTCTTCCTTTTTTGGAGGGCTTTCCGTAGTGGATGGCCTTCTGCGTTTCTTGGAAGGCAGCGCCCTGTCGTCGGGCATAGACACTACCTTCTCTGCAATCTTTTCCATGGCCGCCTTGCTTACCAACCGGCAGGCAAAAACGAATCCAAGGTCATCTTCTAGCTTGGCCATGCCATGTCATACATTGCTATTAGAGACGAACTATTCTTTAGAATCTTTACAAAAGTTGTTCATGACAAAGCCATATGCTGAAGTGATATCTTATGTTCTGAATCAGTGTGATTATAAGGAAATAGAAAACTATTCTTTAGAATACAATTCTTCATTTCTTTTACAGAGCCATATGCTGGAGTGGCGACTTGTGTTCTGGATCAGTGCTGGAGTCGTTCTGATCACAAACGTTCTCTATTGCTTTATGGGTGCTGCTAAGGTGCAGCCTTGGAACGATATTGAATCGTCAACTAATGAAGAAGCTGTTAAATGGAAATCTTCTCAAGGTAATTGTTGTACGGTATCTCTCTGTTTCAAATGCTATGCATTTAATAATTTTAATCATCTGTTAGTTCAAAAATGTGATTCAATTAATGTAAATAAACCAGTGACAAAATAAGGCTCATTTTTCAACTTACATTTATTTAACTATTTATTTCAATACACAACAGAAATAGCAACGAGGAGAGCCTAACGTGCGTTTTTATTTGTTTTTAAAGTTTTTATTATATTTTTTTTTTTTAAATGAACCAAGAACAGTTTGAAATATTACAAGATCTTGTCTTCAGCTATTCAAGGTATGTCAAAGACTCAACAATCCAACATCACATTAATTTCTAATTTCGATCAATTTGACTCAAACAAAGAAACTTTTCAACTATAAAGAAAGATTTGAAAATTACATAAAGATAAAGAATGCTTTTGATGATAAAACTATTTGTGCCCAGCTTTTTCTCAATAGTGTAGGTTCTAAAACATATGACCTTTTGTCTTCACTCTCAGCTCCAAAAAGTATTAATGAGCAAACCTATGATGAAATTACAAAATTATTAGGCAATTACTTTCCAAAAACCAATGAAATTGTAGAACAACATAAGTTTTTATCCAGAATCCAGGCAGAAAATGAATCAATAACAGACTATGTAACAGCTCTTAGGAAACAAATTGCAACTGGTAAACTTACCTGTACATCATGTGAAGCATCTGTATCTGACTTATTCTTAAGATCACAGTTTATCAGGGGAATTCATGACTCTTCAATTAGAGAACAATTAATCCAGACCAAGGACTTAACATTTGACATTGCCGTAGAAAAGGCAATAGCAATTGAAGCTTCGAAAATAGACAGTGCAACTCTGAACAACTTTTCTAGTCCTCAAACATCGTCACAGGCGGAAGTCAACAAGTTATCCAGCACACCAGAATTATACACCAAGAAGGACAGCCTACCTCAACACACCCTTCCACAAGACGAAATAAGGTTGATTTGGCAACACTTGGAATCGGAAACCTGTGTTTAAGATGTGGTAAAGCAAATCACACGTCCAGGGAATGTAAAACCAACTTATCATATCACGCCTTCACTGCCAAAGCTGTGACAAGGATGGACACATAGCCAAGGTGTATATCAACTCTACTCTCTAAAAAATCCAGGCCTACAGTTAATACAATAAGTACTACTCCAAATGTTTCACAGGACTTAAACTCACTTTATGGAATATGGCAACTCCAAATTCTCAATGTATCTGACTACAATTCATCAGACACAGAAAAATTTTTCACAACTATTCTAATCAATGGGAAACCACAAAAGTTTGAGGTAGATTCAGGCATAGATTCAGCTCATAACCTTCTACCAAAGGCTCAATTTGATACTTAATCTTCCTCAAAACACAATCCAGAATACAAATATAAAGGTTTCGTTCTTACACAAATGAGGTTTTCCATCCCTTAGGCTTAGTTAATGTTCAGGTTGAATACAATGGACGCTCATCTACACAGCAGTTGTTTGTAGTTCCTGACATGTACAGCCCTCTACTAGGTAGGACTTGGATAAGACAACTTGGAGTCCATTTGAACGATCTTGACACCCAGAGACCAAAAGATACCGGTACTTATGTAAACTTAGTTTCCAGTGACACAGACAAACTAGTTACTGCAGTTGAATCAAAATTTCCAGAAATATTTTCACCAGAAATAGGACATATTCTTAATGTCTCCTGCTCTCTAAAGTTAAGACCTCAATCCAAACCAGTATTTTTCAAACCTAGACCTTTACCGTATGCACTCCGGGATAGAGTGGGACATGATTTGACAAACTCGAACAAGACAAAATCATCACTAAAATCGAATCATGCGACTGGGGTTCACCCTTAGTTTTAGTGCCTAAGCCTGATGGTACACTTAGGCTATGCGCAGACTATAAAGTCACAGTCAACCCGCAACTCTAAGATTCACACTATCCGATTCAAACTGAGAAACGCCAAGTTTTTCTGTCCTCTCGACCTCTTTAAAGCTTACCTACACATAGGTGTCGATGAAGAAAGTGCTTGTGTTCAAACAATATCAACCCATAAAGGATATCAACAGATGTCAACAGATTGTCTTTTGGAATCAAGACTGCAACCAGCAACCAGCATATTTCAAAATGTAATGGAACAAGTTCTACAAGACCTCCCAGGTGTCAGCTCTTACTTTGACGACATAATTGTCTACGGGTCAACATTGGATGAATGTTTCAACAACCTTGTAGCTTCTCTAGAGCGACTTCAAACCAACAATCTTCACATCAACCGAAATAAATGCACATTCTTCCAAGAAAGCATCACATACTTAGGATATGTTATTGAAAATAACAAGATATCCAAGTCAAGTGTCAAATATCCTCAATATTCAAAGACCAAATTCAGTAGAGATTACCGTAGTACTCATGGTAAGACCTGGACCCGGGACCGATTTACTTTTTTGTTTTAAGGTCCCTAGAGACCAAAAACACCATCCGTTCAAATTCAGGGAATATATATATGTATATATGTATATATATTTATAAATATATATTTATATATGTGTCCGTTAGCGCGATAACTCGAGCAAAAATCATCCGATTTTGATGAAATTTGGTACAAACGTGTAAACATACGTTAATTTGAACGAGTTCACGAACCACCATGATCGGACTATGGGAACAGGGGTTAATGGGGGGTTTTATGGGGCAAAAATTGGTTTTTGCCATTTTTGACCTTAAAAACTTAAAATTTAGCATTTTCTTTCCAAACCATTTTGTAGAGCTTAAAAAACAAATGATTAAGTATATTGAAGCGTTATTATGCACCTAATGGTTACGGAGAAAATTCCAAAAAACTGTAAATTTAAAATTCCCGTGTTATTCTTATGGAGAATAAGTAAACTGTTGTAGTTTGCTTGTTTATGATCATATTTTTATCAAATTTGGAAAATGCATTCATTTGATATACTAAGCTATTAACATTTTACAAAAAACACATTTTTACCCTCCCTGTTGCAGCAAACCTAAGTACTCGTTAAACTAATGTTATTTAAATAGGGAATAAATGAGATATTTTTAAGGAGACATTTTAGCAGGGGTGTCATTTGGGGGGGGGCAGGGGGGGGGGCAAATGCCCTCCACCTTTATCCTGTGCTAGAGAAAAAAATATGCTGTACCAGCCAATATACAAATATTTTCTCCTGTCAAATCCTAAAAAACACAGCAGACAAAAATCTGTATTTTCTTGTACAGTAATTTGAAACAAATATTATTATTTTATTGTCTTAGATAGCACATTTTGAGTTTACATAAATTAGTAGTTTTGTTTTTCATTTACTTTTTCTGTTTGGTGCTGTACGATAAACCACTTACTTCTAGTTTATATATATACATAAAAATTCAGATTTTTTAGAAGCATTGCTTTGCCATTTACTTTTATGAATTATTCAAGCATTAAAACATGTGTATAAATTTTACGTAATTTATTTTGAACATTGTAGACTACCAATTTAATATAGTTAAACAGAACCTTTTGTACTTTTGTGTCAAATTATTTTATTGGTGATAAAATTTGATTTGCTTTTAAGTTCTTAAATACTTTTATTTTATTTAAAAACCAAAATAAACTGTTATAAACTATAGGCTATGAACAACCGTATTCATTGCTAAATGTTGTAGAAGAGAAATTGGTCATGAATCTAATAACAAACATAATAGCCTATTAATACATCATGGAACTATTGACCACGTTTCTTAGATGACTAACTTACCAACATAAAATTATTGTGTTTCTGTCTGTTGTCAATAATTCTTAATTTCATTAATTTTCTGCCTAAATTTAAATCAATTTTACTCATAATTTTTTTTTTATTTGAAGTGCTTTTGACAATTAAAATAAGCTTAAAGCCCTCTTTTTTGTTTAAAAACTGCTAAATTTTCCGGGGGGGACCCCTGGACCCCCCTTGTTTGCTGGGGTGTATTCCATACCCCCCATACCCCCCCCCCCGTGTTTGCCCCCCCAAGGATTTGGTGAAATGACGCCACTGCATTTTAGTGTAGATCCAATCAGGCAAATGGAAATTCGCTTAGTCTGCAGGTTTGCTGCGGCGGGGGTATTGTTTACAATGCAACAGAACAGGCAATGGCTTATAAATAGATTGATTCCTTTGTTTGAAATCGTTTTTACAGAGCTAATCTTAAAATTGTCTTCCTTACGGTATTTAATCTATGGCATAACTATTACCTTTGATCTTCAGTATCCAATAGTCAATGCTATTACTAACAATATTTCTTTGTTCCAGAAGATGGTCTTCCTAATGACAAGCATATAGAGCTTGCTCCGAAAAAAGTTTAACGTCTAGATTATTTAGTTAATAAGCTTTTGGTACTTCACTTGTAAATATTTCTGTACATAGTTTTACTTAAGAGAATAAATTTGCCAAACCCATCATAAACTTAGTTTGTAACATACTTTTATATTTTTGAGAGATTGGTTAATGCCGCCGAGTTTTGTAAATAGTTTTTTATGTTAAATTTGACCAATATATATGTTTTTTAAAAGAAAATTGTAGGAATATTTTGAATTTGAGTTTCATAAAATATTTTTTAAACAGGAGCGAGCTGGTCTAGCGGTAGAGCACAGGACTTCGCTCCCTAAGGTCTCAGATTCAAATCTCCCCAATAAAACCACCTTCTCTAGACCTAGCTTTGAGTACCTAATGTATATAACAATTCCTGGCTAAAACCTAGAGGTATAAAAAAGAATTTTAATATGTAAAATAGTGTATTTTACACAATCTAAATGTTAAAACAGATGATAATATCCTAGCAAATAGCAAACACTGTTGGCTGTGATATTATACATATGCTAAACAATTAATGATTATGTCAAAAGAAATTATTTTTCATGTAATTATTTTTAATACTCAACTTATCCACCTTATAGTAAAATTTAAGCTGAAGTTAACTTATTGTTAACTGTATTTCCTTACACGCCCAGAGAGAACTTACTTAAGACTAGCCAATCCTTAGTCAATGCCATAACTGAATAAATTATCCAATATCTTAGTAGCTCAATATAGATGGCCTCTATAATAAGAAGGAATACACCATCTTAATTTTAGGTTCTCTTCTTCCCACCTTAAATTGTTTAAGGTTTGTAACAAGTTTTTTTTTCATTTTTGATAGGTATATGTTTATGTGAGAAAAATTAGATTAATAGGATGGTCGAAGTAGCTATTAATTAAGAATGTGTTCTTTACATGTAATATTTATTTGTACATTAGTGCAATTTAGAAGACCTATCTCCTTTCTTTGAATGTACAAAGTGAAATCTTTGTACTAAAGATACAAAAGATATTATACTTAATAATTGCAAACTATTAAATAATTTGCTTTTTAAAATGCATACATAATTATTTACCTTTAATTATAAGTATTTCATTTAGGTTTTAAACTAGACTTTGTAGCGACTGTGATTATTACAATTTGGCTATTTTGCTAATAAAGATTTGTTGGAATTAATTATTTACTTGTTTAATACAACCTATTATGTATACTGTACAGAGATGAGTGAAAATTTAAAAAAGTACGTTTTCAGGAAAAGCACTATGCAAATTTTTTTCCCTTTTTTCAAAACTTTTATTATTTTTTGTATTTTATTAACATTTGAAGTTTCATAAAATGTCCATGGTAACGCAATATCTTTGGTAGTTTTTTTTAAAGAGCATCTTTAGTGGAAAAACACAAAATCCTGTCACGACCATAACAGACGTTTAAATGATTATTAAAAATAGTTCATATTATTTTTATAACTATGTTTTGCTAACAACTAATTTACTTTTATGACCATTATACAATAAAAAGGTCACTGAGCTTTTGGTATATTTGGTCTTTCTAGAAAAAAATAAAAAACTCAAAAAATTGAAAAAAAGCCAATAAAATCTTTTTAAGTTTGTATAACTCCGAAAAAACTTACCTGAGACCCGAAAAATCGTTATGTTTGTATAGAGGTGTGCTTCTTTTGTGTATAAAACATTAAAATATGACGATATTTTAATTTTTGAAAATTTTATGTTAGTAATCATAAACGAGATGGTCAGGGACAAGTGGTACGGTCGTGAATTTTCTGAAAAAATCTAAATCTTTCTAAACAATCCTTCAATTATACTGTTAGTTATAATAAAAATATGTGTTTCAATTGAACTAAACTGTTCAATTTACATTAAATTATATTAAAGTTATTGTCACGACCAAACACACTATAATCCATAAGGCTGGATTGGTTGTGAAAAAACCCGCGATGGTCGTGCAACTTTGGTCGTGAAATTACGTGTTATTTGGCTCTGTTCTGGCGGTAGCCCTGCACCTCATGTTCGAGGATACAAAGTGGACTTCTAGGTTAAGCTAGCAATTGAAATATCTTATAAACAAAAATTAACACCATGTCTACTTCATCGAATGACTACGTATGGTCATGGACACACCAAAATTACAAAAAACACAATCTTTCCTTTATTAATCTTGTAATTCCTCCTTTCAACTCGAAGCGACCGGCACTACAATCCTGACGTACACCCCGAACTAGTCTTTAAAACCAACTGACTCCATCGACGCCAGGCTTGCCACTGTCGTTCTCACAGGGACAGACTTATTTTGTCATGGTAGTCAGTTTGCAATGACAATAAAATTATAATATGCTCCTTTTGTGTAAGTTTAATAACCATTGATGACATAAAAATATGGCTTTATAGATTTCGGCATGAATAATTAGTCTAAAAACAGCGTGAAAGTTGGAAAATGTACCCTAGGGACACGTCATGGTCGTGAATTTCGAGACTTTAAACATACGAAAAAAATACCTAGAACCTATTTAAAACCAAATAAATGTGTGTAACATGTTGCCCCTGTCCCAAAAAATATTAAAACACATAATAATAAACTACAAATCCAGTATCTACAAAGTAAAAGGCCAGGGAAATGAAATCGTACGTTTTTAAATTTTCACTCGGATGTAAAGTATGAAAACCACAAAATCTTATCTTACTAATATTATAAATGTGAAAGTTTGTGTGTTGTTTGTTTTATTGAAGTTCAATCGCGCATTAACATGGGCTAAGGGAGTGTGTTTTATCTATGGTAATAGCTATTTACCTTACAAGTGTAGTAAGAGAGTTTTTACATCACGCAGGTAAATGTCGTGCAACGAGCGAAAGCTCTTAGTCTTGCGTAACGTGTAACGTACAAGATTTTACCTGACCCGACAATATAGGGGGTTACGTACAATATGTTTCATTATCCATTTCACTTATCTTCTAACAGCAGTAAAAATCTTTTACAAACAAAAGCTAGGTTAGGATAATTATTAAAGCATAACAATAAAATTCAAGCGCACAGCTGATTTCTAGCGTTAAGTCGTTGGCTCCATAGAGGTACAATTTTTTAAGTTGAACACTCAATGTTATTGAAATGGGTTTAAGTTTTCCCAACTATTTTCCCCTTTCTCCAATAAAATTTGCCCTTTTCCCAACTATTTTCCCCTCTATCCCGTTTTTCCCAATTATTTTTCCCTTTTCCCAATTATTTTTCCCTTTTCCCAACTATTTTCCCTTTTATCCCATTTGCCCAATTATTTTCCCCTTTTCCCTGTTTTCCCAACCATATTTCCCTTTATCCCTTTTTCCCAACTATTTTTCCCTTTATCCCTTTTTCCAACTATTTTTCCCTTTATCACGTTTTAAAAAAAATTCCCTTTTTCCCAACTATCTTTCCCTTTATCCCGTCTTTCACAAAAAATTTCCCTTTTCCCCAACTATTTTTCCCTTTTCTCAACTATTTTCCCTTTTATCCCATTTGCCCAATTATTTTCCCCTTTTCCCTGTTTTCCCAACCATATTTCCCTTTATCCCGTTTTTTCCAATTATTTTTCCCTTTTTCCCAACTATTTTCCCTTTTATCCCATTTGCCTAATTATTTTCCCCTTTTCCCCAACTATATTTCCCTTTAACCCTTTTTCCAACTATTTTTCCCTCTATCACGTTTTAAAAAAAAAATCCCTTTTTCCCAACTATCTTTCCCTTTATCCCGTTTTTCCAAAAAATTTCCCTTTTCCCCAACTATTTTTCCCTTTATTCCGTTTTTCCCACAAATGTCCCTTTTTCTAAACTATTTTTCCCTTTATCCCGTTTTTCCACAAAAATGTATTTTTTTCTAAACTATTTTTCCTTTTATCCCGTTTTTCCCAATTATTTTTCCCTTTTCCCAATTATTTTTCCCTTTTCTCAACTATTTTCCCTTTTATCCCATTTGCCCAATTATTTTCCCCTTTTCCCTGTTTTCCCAACCATATTTCCCTTTATCCCTTTTTCCCAACTATTTTTCCCTTTAACCCTTTTTCCAACTATTTTTCCCTCTATCACGTTTTAAAAAAAAAATCCCTTTTTCCCAAATATCTTTCCCTTTATCCCGTTTTTCCAAAAAATTTCCCTTTTCCCCAACTATTTTTCCCTTTATTCCGTTTTTCCCACAAATGTCCCTTTTTCTAAACTATTTTTCCCTTTATCCCGTTTTTCCACAAAAATGTATTTTTTTCTAAACTATTTTTCCTTTTATCCCGTTTTTCCCAATTATTTTTCCCTTTTCCCAATTATTTTTCCCTTTTCTCAACTATTTTCCCTTTTATCCCATTTGCCCAATTATTTTCCCCTTTTCCCTGTTTTCCCAACCATATTTCCCTTTATCCCTTTTTCCCAACTATTTTTCCCTTTATCCCGTTTTCCCAAATTATTTTTCCCTTTTTCCCAACACTTTTCCCTCTATCCCGTTTTTCAAAATTATTTTTCCCTTTTTCCCAATTCTTTTCCCTTTATCCCGTTTTCCCAAATTAGTTTTCCCTTTTTCCCAATTCTTTTCCCTTTATCCCGTTTTTCAAAATTATTTTTCCCTTTTCCCAACACTTTTCCCTTTTTCCCAACACTTTTCCCTTTATCCCGTTTTCGCAAATGATTTTTTCCCTTTTTCCCAACACTTTTCCCCCTTATCCCGTTTTCCCAAATTATTTTCCCTTTATCCCGTTTTCTAAAATTTCCCTTTTTCACAACTATTTTCCCTTTTATCCCATTTGCCCAATTATTTTCCCCTTTTCCCCAACTATATTTCCCTTTAACCCTTTTTCCAATTATTTTTCCCTTTATCACGTTTTAAAAAAAAAATCCCTTTTTCCCAACTATCTTTCCCTTTATCCCGTTTTTCCAAAAAATTTCTCTTTTCCCCAACTATTTTTCCCTTTATTCCGTTTTTCCCACAAATGTCCCTTTTTCTAAACTATTTTTCCCTTTATCTCGTTTTTCCACAAAAATGTATTTTTTTCTAAACTATTTTTCCTTTTATCCCGGTTTTCCCAATTAATTTTCCCTTTTCCCAATTATTTTTCCCTTTTCCAAATTATTTTTCCCTTTTCTCAACTATTTTCCCTTTTATCCCATTTTCCAATTATTTTCCCCTTTTCCCTGTTTTCCCAACCATATTTCCCTTTATCCCTTTTTCCCAACTATTTTTCCCTCTATCCCGTTTTTCCAAATTATTTTTCCCTTTTTCCCTACACTTTTCCCCTTATCCCGTTTTTCCCAACACTTTTCCCCTTATCCCGTTTTCCCCAACACTTTTCCCTTTATCCCGTCTTCCAAAATTATATTTCCCTTTATCCCGTTTTTCCAAATTATTTTTTCCTTTTCCCAAATTCTTTTCCCTTTATCCCGTTTTCTAAAATTATTTTTCCCTTTTTCCCAATTCTTTTCCCTTTATCCCGTTTTCCCAAATTAGTTTTCCCTTTTTCCCAACACTTTTCCCTTTATCCCGTTTTCTAAAATTATTTTTCCCTTTTCCCCAACACTTTTCCCTTTATCCCGTTTTCCCAAATTATTTTTCCCTTTTCCCAATTCTTTTCCCTTTATCCCGTTTTCTAAAATTATTTTTCCCTTTTTCCCAACACTTTTCCCTTTATCCCGTTTTCCCAAATTATTTTTCCCTTTTTCCCAACTCATTTCCCTTTTCCCCAACACTTTTCCCATAATCCCGTTTTCCCAACACTTTTCCCTTTATCCCGTTTTCCCAAATTATTTTTCCCTTTCCCAATTCTTTTCCCTTTATCCCGTTTTTAAAATTATTTTTCCCTTTTTCCCAACAATTTTCCCTTATCCCGTTTTCCCAAATTATATTTCCCTGTTTCCCAACACTTTTCCCTTTATCCCGTTTTTCAATTATTTTTCCCTTTTTCATAACACTTTTCCCTTTATCCCATTTTTCCCAATTATTTTTCCCTTTTTCCCAACACTTTGAAATTATTTTTCCCTTTTTCCCAATTCTTTTCCCTTTATCCCGTTTTCTAAAATTATTTATCCCTTTTTCCCAACACTTTTCCCTTTTTTCCAACACTTTTCCCTTTTTTCCAACACTTTTCCCTTTATATTTCCCTCCATCCCGATTTCCCAAATTATTTTTCCCTTTTTCCCAATTCTTTTCCCTTT